TCTCTCTCTCTCTCTCTCTCTTCAATGTAAAGTAAAAAGCCATCCATTAGAAGGTATGTGTGATATATATATAAACTATACAACAGTTAGAGTGTTATGTATGATATGATGTGTGACTTCATAACTTATTAACACAACTCCTAATCCAATGCATTAGACTATCAGTGCATTCATATAGCGGTCGTCTCTATAATAATTTGATTTTGAGACCAACTTTTTCACTCATGAATGCGTGCTTTGAGTTCAATTCAACAGTAGTTCTTATTATGGACTCAAGTTTGTGCCAAATATTGCTTCTTAGGCTCTATTATAGACTATACCGGAGATCACAAACACAACATTGTATTGAATTAATACAAATAAATGATTACAATAATAGCAATGAGCGATAGTATTGGCGTGAGTGAGGAGATGGTGTATCCCTAGTATCACATCCATCGCCCACTTAGCTATGCCATCAAGTCTTTGCAATAGTTGCAGACTTTGCATATATATATTCATTAATATGAGTGTTGTATTTGCGCTGTTTATTATTGTAATACCATTTTAGGCTCTTCTCCACTCACCGAAAACAGTACTGCATTTTAGCAAATGTTTAACTCGTAATAACTGCTCAATGTTTGACTAGTACTACGGGTGTCAGTGTTTTAGCTCTTCGTAACAATTAAATGCTCTTTTCTTTATGCCATAACTGATGCAACATAACAACGATGACAATGCTTTCATTACTATTACTTCTTCTCGCCAACAGATGAACCGTCCAATTCAAGTGAAACCAGCAGACAGTGAAAGCCGAGGCGGTAAGTCATCTCACAGACCAATCACACCATTTTCCCATTACATCCCATTCCCTCTTCACCTCTCTCTCTCTCTCTCTCTCTCTCTTATTCTTTCTTTCTCGGTCAGTTAACTCTCATATCTAATCTCTCTCTCTCTCTCTCTCTCTCTCTCTCTCTCTCCCTTTCTCTCTCCTTCCGCATCGATTCCATCAAACATTATCACCGCTTCCATCGCTTCTCACATTTTCTCCTCATTTAACGCTTTCTATTTATTTTACTTATCATTTGTCATCTCTTTTTTCTTTAAAATAAAAAATTTATATAAAATACGGAAAACACAATTTAATTGAATATTATATATAAGTTATAGTTTTATTCATATTTTAGTATATGGTTCGTGAAATTAGTTTAACAATGAGATCCGTTATATTAGTTTTGTAGTAAAAATAAGATATATTTAGAAATACAATAAATGTAAACATTGAGTGAAGGAAATGGCTTTCAATTAGAATAAATAAATTTTACTGAAATTATTGTTTTATCATCATTTTCTCACTACATTATTCATGTAGTCTACAGTACTGTACACACGAGATACTGAATGTAATGTACAGTATAAAAGTTGTCTTAAATTAATCAATATAATTTTTTAAAATAATTTTCTGTTCGTGAATTATTTGCACAATTTTATTTTGAATAAAAATGAAACAATTTAAGTACTATAGGATTTTTTCAATAATTTTAATTATATATTTTTTAATTACTGATAAAATATCAATCATTGACATAAGAATAACTCATTCCATACATTGTTATTGATATAAAGAAGAGACATATCCCGTGAGAGGATGTTATTGATAACATAACATAGCATTTCTGATTCATCACTCTTTGGACGGAGAGTCGAGTTTTGAGTTGAGTTTTGAGATGATATAATCGCAAACCGTATGAATCCCTTCGGGGTCTGTGTAGACAATGATAGTGACCAGCGATAGCTTAATGGCAGGCGACGGGTCTATCAATGATCAGCAACTCTATTCACTGAATGCTTTAAAACTATCTGAATTAGATTTAAATCTTATTATCACAGTTAAGTGAGATCTATAAATTTGGTTAGGAGTTAATTCTGACTGTTATTAATGAACTAAATATTACAACTGAAACTATAATACAATAATTAATTCAATGAGTAATTTTAAATAGGTTTAAGTATTTTAAACAAAAAACAATTATAATTTAAACAAGCAAATAGTAATTTGTGGCATCATGTATTTCAAAAATGAATTGAAATACATTTAGAATTTGTTTATTATTAGAAATATAATTTATATGATCATCAGTAGTAGGCTTGAGTGCATGTTTCAGATGGTAATGATTTGCATATATTTAACCATTAACCACTATCAATCTATATTTTGTTTTATTATTCTATACTCATAATTTTGTACACATGAATAAGAACTAAATTTTTGAAAATACAAATTAAATGTGCTTTCAATGAATACAGAAGACAGGAAACTATTTGTGGGAATGCTTTCCAAACATCAATCGGAAGAAGACATAAGAATGCTATTCCAGTCGTACGGCTGTATTGAGGAGTGCACTATATTGCGGGGACCCGACGGCCAATCCAAAGGTAATGCACACTTGTTTTTGCCATTTTTACATTTCCATATACAGGGCATACTTTTATAACATTTCATGAATTGGTTGTATAAAAAACTATTGGTTTTAACGCTGGCAGATTTGATCTTCATAATTTATATGATTTTATATAAAAAAATTCTAATCCCAATTGAATTAATAATGGGTTTGTTTTAATGCATTAATTATGCACATATTTGAAATGCTATTCAGACATTGAGAATTGCATATAAAGAGCATACATTGACCAAGGTTATTTCAATACAAATTCCGTATCGATCTGTTGAGTGCATCACTCATTTCTAAACATAAAATGTTTAATTCATTTTTACATCAAAAGACCATTTAATGAATGCAAGAATGTTTGTCAAGACTTGGTTTTAGGCAGTGTTTGTCATTCATATTCTAGTTCTGCATTTCAAACACTTTAAATATAAGGGAAAAAATCAATTTTTAAAATAATAGTCACATAATTATATTTTAAATATTTTTTACTTGCAATGCATTTCTTAAAACATCTAAAATATTATAGTTATGATTAAACTTTAGATATACTTATGCACCGAATTTATTCATTCGATAATTAATAAAATTTTAAACTATAGTCAAGAATCAAGTATAAAACAACTCTCACACAGCGATGCTATACGTTAATCACAATTCGGGCGATGCTTAAAGAATAAATTATCATTATCCATAGATTTAATATGAATCACATAAACTTAGCATTGTTTATAGGATTAGAATTGTCCATAGACTTAGCATTACTCACGTTAATCTTATGTCATAGCCTTGAGCTGTAATATTACAGAAATTCATTGAAAATTTTCCCCATAGGATAACATTAACTACATGTTGATCTTATGTCATAGACTTAATATTAGCCATATGTTAAAATATAGTCATAAACTTAAGCTGTAATGCCATGTTAAATCCCATAGAGCGAGGGGGCGGGGGAGGGGTAGCCGAACGATTCTATAAGCCACATTCATATTTGAATTGTGGTTAAAAATCAATTTGACATTAAGACAAATTGTGTAGTATGCTGTATGCAAACTACTGTATAGTTTAAAATCAACACAACCTCTTGACGAAATGTGTTATTGTTAAACGCAATAACTGTTTAATTTTCTTAATGCTATGATTTATAATGTTATGAATGTTAGAAAAGATTATTTATTGAATGCAACATTTGATAGGCTGTGCATTCGTTAAGTTTGGAAGTCATGGTGAGGCTCAGGCGGCCATCAATTCCCTGCACGGAAGTCAGACAATGCCGGTAAGGGTCTGTT